CTGGGCAGCCTCCTCAACCTCCTCCTCCTGCGTAGCCTCCTCGACCTCCTCCGCCACCTGCCTCTCCTGCGTTGCCTCCTGGGCATGCCTGGAAGCACCTGCCTGAAAGACCTGTCCTGTCTCCCGGACCTGGGCCCCGACCCCCGAGACCTCGCCTCCAGCTCCCCGAGGCGGCCGGGCCCCAGACCTGCCCTCGATCTGCACGGACTTCAAAAAATCCGACACAGCCTACAAACCTTACAACTCCGGGAGCGGAGAATGACGAGGGAGGGAGGCAGGGGACTGCGCATGCGCAAAAGTCCTTGGCCTCGAGACCGGGCCAGTCCTCGGCGGCCAACGGGGCCACCTCAACGCGGCGGGGAGGGAGGCGCCGAGCAAGCTCATGACGCGGTGCCCCGAGCTCTCGACTCGAGCCACTTCACCAGCAACAGCGGGGGAACCTCGCCTGCGATAATCTTGAACAGAATCAGCATGCTCTTGTTAGGGATCACCGTGATCGGGATGAGGGCCTCTCCAATGATGTATGTGCTGCCGCCGACGCCCCGGGCCATCTTGGGCTGCTTGTCCCAGCGGATGGGGATACGCCAGCCCTGCTTACCGCAGTCCTTCACCAGGCGCTCCAGCCGCTTGTCGCCCACCAGCGCCTGCAGGCCCGACGCCGATCATGCCGAATGGCTCCATGTCCCCATGCAGCAGCCACGAGTCGGTCAGCCCGCAGAGCCTTTGGACGCCCTCCGGGCCAAGGGATAGCCACGTCGCCGCTGAGCTGCCCTCCGTCGTCACGCACAGAGCCCGGGCGCCGGTCTTACCCTCGGCCTTCGGCTTGGGCCGATCGGCGTTGGTTCACTCGCGCCTCCGGTGCCCACGCTGCCCACAATTCGCGCGGCGCGTGCGCGCCCTGAGCTTGTCGATGCTCAGCTTCTGCTTTCCGGCTCCAACTCGAGGAGTTGGCTTCTCCCCGGCGCGCTTGCTGTCGAAGAACTCTCGATCTCTCGCCATCGCTCGCTTCAGCTCCTTGGTCTCAGCCCACTTCCTCGGGCGCCCCTCCTTCTCACGCTTCTCATCCAGCACGGCTGCGACGATGTTGGTCAGCTGCTCCTCGTCGAGGTCCTGGGCCTCCACCGCTGCGCACGCCGCCTCGGCGTCGTCCTCATCGAGGATGGTGTCCTCCCAGAATTCGACGAGCACCAGGTCGGACAGGTCCTCGTCCCCTACCCGCCCGTATTTGTCGCCCTCGTGCGCCGCAGCGAAGGTCTTGCCTGGCCTCCGGGTGGTGTCAGTCTTGCGTTTCACGTCCATCTTCATGAGGGCCTTCTTCACCGAGTCCAAGTCTTCGCGGCCCTGAGAGATGGACATCAGGTTGATCATGTTCTGTTCGCTCAGCCTCGATCCCGCCCTCAGCTGCTCCACCTGAACCTTCTCGGGCAGGTCCAGACCGAACTTGCGGGCTTCTCGCACCTACATGTCTCGGCGAAGAACGAACTGCGTCAGCGTCTCGCTGTTACGGATCTCCGTGTTCTCCAGCACGTGCTCGAACGCCTTCTTGGCACTGTCGTCCTCGCGATCACCGCGAGCCTGTTTCAAGTAGCTTATCAGCACGTCCAGGCCGCCGGGCGCGTCCAAGTCCTCCTGGATGTGCATCAACTTCCCTTGTAGATCCACAGGAAGCTCGTCCACAACTTTCCTGGCCTGAGCGTCCAAGGGTAACGCCGTTCTCCTGGACCACCTCCGAATGCTCAGAATCCACGTGTCGAGCCTGTCGGATCCCTGCCACTGCTGAGGTCCCTGATTGTCGCCCCGCTGGCGGCCTCCTGCTGGCTGAGCCGGCAGCTGCGGTGACCAGGAGGCTGCCGCTGAGGTGCCCCCCCCGGCTGCGCCGCCGAGAGCACGCTCGCCGCGCCTGCCGCGGTCGCCGCGGCCGGCGGGGCTGGTGCGGCCTCAGGGGCGCTGCCGCCGCGGGCGCCGCGGCCTGGGCAGCCGACGAGACCTGCGCGGCCGACGCAGCCGCCGCGGGCAGGACGGCCGCCGTGACCGGCGGGGCAGCGCGGCCTCGGGCGGTGCTGCCGCAGGCGCCGCGGTCTGGGCGGCCGCCGCGGCCGGCGGGGCCGGCGCGGTCATCGCCGCGGCTGGCGCCGGCGCTGTGCTCCACCACGGGAGCGGAGGGGCTCGTGGGGCGCCGCTCGCCCACACTCTCGTCTCCTCGCTGTCTGGCCACGGGGTGGCGTATGTGCCAGCGGCTGCGCTAGCTGACGCCCCTTGAGACCACGGATATCCGTTGGCCCAGGGATCCTGGCTGCTCCAATCCTGCCAGCCTGCCCAGCTTCGCCAGCCCCTTCTGCTGTGCCAGGTGTGATCACAGCTCCCACCGGAGCGGCTCCAGTCGTCCCCCGACTGTGCTGCCGCTTCGCCGCCGTGTTCCTCCTGCTCTGGCAGGGGCGCTGGCCCTGTGTCTCCCTGGTGTGGCGTCCGCGCTGTCGCCGCTGGGTGCTCCTCCTCCGCTTCTCTGTCCTGTGCTCCTTCTGCCCGTCCGTGATCACTCTCCGAACCAGCTCCGCTTACCACTGTTCGCCGAACATCGGAACTCATGTGGTCGGGGTCGGGGCGGAATGGGGACGGGGAAGACTAGAGGAAATAAGGGGAGCTCACTTTTGCTCCACGCGTGCACGCTTGAGCCACAACAGTTACACACCAGTCATACTCGAGAATGCGCAATGGGTGAAGTGCAGAGGATATATACGACAGCCAGGGCCACTCTTCCAGGAAGCCGAGCACGCGCCGTGCCCAGCTCGGCCGCTCCGAGGGCGAGCACGTCGAGGAGGGGGAGGAAGCGCAGGAGGGGCAGGAGGAGGACGAGGAGGACGACGAACAGGCACGAGGAGGACGAGGAGGAGGAGGAGGAGGACGAGGAGGTGGAAGAAGCGGAAGCGCGGGAGAGGCAGGAGGAGGAGGACGAGGAGGACGTGCTTGAAGATCTTGCACGCGTGTGTGCCTTTAGCGACCCTTTAAGGAAACAACCCGGGACCAGAGCCGGCGGGCTCAGGCCCACAAAGGATGTGGCCGGAACACCTTCTCGAGAACCGCGAAAGAACAATGCACGCCACACCAACCGCCACCCCTCCTCCCTCCTCCTCCTCCTCCTCCTCCTCCTCCTCCTCCTCCTCCTCCTCCTCTCCCTCCCTCCCTCCCTCCCTCCCTCCCTCCCTCCCTCCCTCCTCCTCCCCTCCCTCCTTCCTTCCCTCCCTCCCTCTCCCTCCCTCCCTCCCTCCTCCCTTCTTTCCTCCTCACCCTCCTCCTCACCTCCTCCTCCTGCTCCTCCTCCTCCTTCTCCTCCTCCGCCTCCTCCTTCTCCTCCTCCTCCTCTTCCTCCTCCTCCCCCTCCTCCTCCTCCTCCCTCCTCCTCCTCCTCCTCCTCCTCCTCCTCCTGATCTTCCTCTTCCTCGCTCGATCGCTTGCTCGCTCACTCCTGTCCCTCCTCTCCTCCTCCTCCTATCATCTCCTCCTCATCTCATCATCATCTCATCATCATCATCTCATCATCATCATCATCATCATCATCATCATCATCATCATCATCATCCTCATCCTCATCCTCATCCTCATCCTCATCCTCATCATCCTCATCCTCATCATCATCATCATCATCATCATCATCTCATCATCATCATCATCATCATCATCATCATCATCATCATCATCATCATCATCATCATCATCATCATCATCATCATCATCATCATCATCATCATCATCATCATCATCATCATCATCATCATCATCATCATCATCATCATCATCATCATCATCATCATCATCTCATCCTCATCCTCATCCTCATCCTCATCCTCATCCTCATCCTCATCCTCATCCTCATCCTCATCCTCCTCCTCCTCCTCCTCCTCCTCCTCCTCCTCCTCCCTCCTCCTCCTCCGGGGTAGGGGGAGGGGGGGAAGGCTCCTTAGGAGGAGGCTGCTTCTTCGGAGGCGCCGTACTTACATCTACAGACAAGGCCCGCGCCTTCTAAGAAACAGGATGGTCCCAATAAGCCTTCACCCTCCCCCATAAGAACCTCTGCGCATGGCCGACCATGCCAATAGAGGAAACAAGCATCACAAACATGAACTGTCGATGGGCCGCGCGGACTTATTGGGTCTGCGCTGGGCCCCCCTCCCCGAGCACGCCAGGGGCGGCGCCGGAGGCGCCGCCAGGGGGTCTAGCGCAAATCCAAGAAATCCGGACTGACCGTCGAAAATTTATGTTTGTGCAGTCGTGTCTTCTTCGATCGGGGGGTCCTAGACGGGCCCCTGGCCCAAGGTGCCCCCAGCTTTTCGCCCAATGTTATGTTTGTTTCCCCCGCTCAGCCCAGCTGACGAATACACCACGAACTGTGAGTACTGCAGATCACCACAGCAAGGCCCCCGCGCCAGCCCGGCCCAGCGCCGGCCTCGCAGCGGCCACCTTGCTGCGGCCACCTTGCCGCATTTGTGGCGCCCTCCCCCTCCTGGTTCCCCCGCCTCCTTTCTGCTTCTGCCCCGTGTCGTGTTTTCCTCGCTTGCCGGGCACTACTCCGTGGCACGTGGTGGCGCAGCCCAGCTGTTCGTCCAATTGCGAAGCCTCTGGGGCCCTCTGGGCTTCGCGAGGGGCACCCCACGGAGGCTGTGGGAGCCTCCTTGGAAATCCTGGGGGCACCTCGGGCCTGGGCCACCTCCTGCAGCACCCGATCCGCGTCGAAGAGAGGGGAGGGGGCGCAGGAGGACAGGGAGGAGGAGGAGGAGGCACGAGGAGGACGAGGAGCACGAGAGGAGGCATGAGGAGGAGGACGAAGAGGACGAGGAGGAGGAGGAGGAGGAGGAGGAGGAGGAGGAGGAGGAGGAGGAGGGGGAGGGGGAGGGGGAGGAGAAGGAGGGGGAGGGGAAGAAAAGGAGGAGGAGGAGGAGGAAGAGGAGGAGGGGGAGGAAGCGCAGGAGAGACAGGGGCAGGAGGGGAGGGGGCGCGGGAGGAGCGGGAGGAAGAGGAGCGGGAGGCGCAGGCGCAGCAGGGGACGGAGCCTGGCCCCGGCGGCGCGCGCGGTCAGTAGGGCGAGCCCGCGTCCTTCCCCTTGCCACCGCCCTTGGCGTTGTTGATGCTTCTGGCGAACCTGACCTCTTTTTGGAAGCTGGGCGAAGGCTGGCAAATTCGTGGCTGCTAGAAACTGTCTTCCCGGAAGAGAAAAGCTAATTCCCGGAGTCAAGCTCAGCGCGCTGAATAGTAAACGGGCTGCTTCCCAGAAGAGAACAACAATTTCCCCGAGCTCTGCTTTAGCAGCCACGGGTTTGCCAGCCTTCGCCCGGCTTCTGAGACTCTTCGGGGACGCGCTGACACAGGTTGGTGCAAACCCAGGTCAGTCGGGTCTTGCAGGATCCTGCCAGATCCTGCAGAATCCTGCGCGCCAGCCGAGGCCCATGCACCCCTGACTCTGCAGGATCCTGCAGGATCCAGCGCTCCGGCTGACCCCCGTTTGGGGCGGCGCGCACAAGGGGGTGGAGGCAGGGAGGAGGGCTTAGAAGGAGGCTGCTTCTTAGAAGGCGCCGGCCTCGCATCTATAGATAAGGCCCGCGCGCCTTCTGAGAAGCAGGGGTGCTTCTAAGAAGCCCTCCCCCCTCCCCCCACCCCCCTCTGCGCGTGGCTGACGTTTGCAATGACCCCCGCCCCTGGATCCCCGAGCCTCCACGGGAGTGGCCATGCCGGTCGGGATGTTGCCGTTCAGCTTGTCCACGAGCCACTGGGCCTCCTGCACAGGGGGCGAGGAGGAGGACGACGAAGAGGAGGAGGAGGAGGAGGAGGAAGTGAAGGAGGAGGAGGAGGAGGAGGAGGAGGAGGAGGAGGAGGACTCCCGACAACTCCAAGAGGCCGCCCAGCAAGGTCCAGAGCCTTCGCAGATCTCCCGCGCCACGAGAGAGACGCGACGGCAATGTGTGTTTCTGAGAGTTCGGACCTTCGAGGCCGTCCAAAAAAAAGGTCCAAGGGGGCAGAAGAGAGGGGTCCAAGGGGGAGAACTCGAATTGAGATTTCCAGCCCTCCGCCCAATACGGGCCCTCGAGACCGCCAGTGGGCCCCCGAGAAGCCCGAAAGGCCCCGCAGAGGCCCTAAAGACGCCAAAAAAGACTTCTGAGAGCCTTCCGAGAGGCCCTAAGTGGCCTCCTGACAGGCCCCAGTACCTCTGACCTCGAAACTCACAAACGACCGCGCACCATAGCCGTCCCAATCCCATCACAGACCGAACCGAGACACCAAGAAGTACTGCGGCGGTCAGAAAACCCACGTGTACATACACATGAGTCTATGTATATACACATATAAATATATAGCTATAGCTGTAGATGTGTGTATGAATGTCTATATATATATATATATGTGTACATGCGCACACATAGCCATAAACATACACGTGCAAATATAGACCTAGATCTATATGTTCACATGTTCATGCGGACGTGCACCAGACTGCATTAATGTGCATGTATGTATACAGTTATACACATACATCTATGTGAGAGAGCGTGATCCACCGCCGCTTTATTGTGACAAATTCCCCTCCCTCTTCCTCCGGAACCTGGGGGTCTCCCCCCCCTCGAAAAAAAACACCCCCCAGCTGACCCCCCCCTCCCCCCCGGCAACCCCCCCCCCCCACCAACCCCTCTCCCCCCCCCCCCTCCGGAAAACCAGGGGGGGTCACTACCGGTTCGAACCCCTCCCCCCTCCAGAAAACCGGAGGGGTCACTACCAGTTCGAACCCCTCCCCCCTCTGGAAAACTAGGGGGGCTCACTATCTGTTCGAACCCCCCTTCACCCTCCAGAAAACCAGGAGAGGCCACTACCAGTTCGAACCCACCCACCCCAGAAAACCGGGAAGGGTCTCACTGTCCCCACTCTCCCCACCATTGTCCCACCACGGTCCCACTCTCCCCACCACTGTCCCACTGTCCCCACTGTTCACTGTCCCACTGTCCCCACTATCCCCGCCGCTGTCCTACTGTGCTGTCCTACTGTCCCCACTGTCCCCACCACTGTCCCACTGTCCTCACCACTCTCCCCACTGTACTACTGTCCCACCACCGTCCTCACCACCGCATTCACCACTGTCCCCACCACTGTCCCACCACTGTCCCACCACTGTCCCGCTGTCCCCTCGCCACTGTCCCCACCACCACCGTCCCCACCACTGTCCGCACCACTGCCTTCACCACTCTCCCCACCACTACCGTCGCCACCACTGTCCCACTGTCCCCACTACTGTCCCGCTGTCCCCTGACCACTGTCCCCACCACCACCGTCCCCACCACTGTCCGCACCACAGTCCCACTGTCCCCCCATCACTGTCCCCACCACCACCGTCCCCACCACTGTCCCAATATCCCCACCACTGTCAAACTGTCCCAAGAAGCGCGGGAATCGTTTGCCGGCGGCGACGAGGGGGGGGGGTTCGAACCTGGTTTGCCGGCGGCGACGAGGGGGGGGGGTTCGAACCTGTAGTGAACCCCCCCCAGTTTTCGAGCGGGGGGGGCTCGGGGGTTCGAACTGGTAGTGACCCCTCCCTTTTCATGATGGACTGGGGGAGGGGGGGGGGGATCGAACTGGTAGTGACCCCCCCCGGTTTTCGATGGGGGGGGGGACGGGTTGGGAACCCACAGTGCCCCCCCCAGGTTATCCGCCAGCAGCGGTAGATCACGCTCTTTCATATATGTATGTAAACATATCAAAAAATGTATCTATATATGGAGTGAGATCAGCATCGGGACAACCGTCGGGACCGCCATCGGGACAACTGGTCTATAGGCCAGTATGTCGATCCACGTGTCTACCAATAGATCTTTATGTCAGTTTTTTACATTTTATGTAGATCTCTGTATACCTTCCAGCAATCAGTATGCACAATCTGCCATGCTGATTGTATTGCTTGCCCCGCCGAACGATGTTCTACATGAAAACATGTTGGCTCCGAAGGGCGCCGTTTGAAACACACGATTGCTCCGCAGGGCTCATTTTCGGAACAGTGTAACATCGGGGAAAGCACTGGTTATAGCATGATTTCGTAGCATACGTTTTCGGGCAGTATGGCCTCGCGGAAACCATCGGGACAACCATCGGGCCAACCATCGGAACAACCATCGGGGCAACCATCGAGACAACCATCGGAACAATCCTCGGGACTCAATGAGAAAAACCCTCGGGACACCCATCGGGACAGTCATCGGGACAATCATCGGGACACACATGAGGAAGACCATCGGGACAGTCACCGAAGCAACCATCAAGGCAAACATCGGGACAATCATCGGGACAACCATCAGGACAACCATCGAAGCAAGCATCGAGACAACCATCGGAACAACCATCGGGACAAGCATCGGGACACCGATCGGGACAACCATCGGGCCAACCATCGGGACAACCATCGGGACAACCATCGAGACAACCATCGGGACAACCATCGGGACAACCATCGGGACAACCATCGGGACAACCATCGGGACAACCATCGGGACAACCATCGAGACAACCATCGGAACAATCCTCGGGACTCAATGAGAAAAACCCTCGGGACACCCATCGGGACAGTCATCGGGACAATCATCGGGACACACATGAGGAAGACCATCGGGACAGTCACCGAAGCAACCATCAAGGCAAACATCGGGACAATCATCGGGACAACCATCAGGACAACCATCGAAGCAAGCATCGAGACAACCATCGGAACAACCATCGGGACAGGCATCGGGACACCGATCGGGACAACCATCGGGACAACTACCGAGACAACCATCGGGACAACCATCGAGACAACCATCGGGACAATCATCGGGACAACCATCAAGACAACCATCGACCCGGACAACCATCGGGACACCCATCGGGGCAACCATCGGGACAACCATCGGGACAACCATCGGGGGCAACCATCGGCACAACCATCGAGACAACCATCGGGACAACCATCGGGACCCCCATGAGGAAAACCATCGGGACAATCATCGAAGCAACCATCCGACAACCATCGGGACAACCATCGGGCCAACCATCGGGCCAACCATCGGGACAACCATCGGGACAACCATCGAGACAACCATCGGGACAACCATCGGGACAACCATCGGGACAACCATCGGGACAACCATCGGGACACCCATCGGGACAACTGGACAGCCATCGGGACAAGCATCGAAACAACCGTCGGGACAACCATCGGGACAACCATCGGGCCACCCATCGGGGCAACCGTCGGAAAACCATCGAGACGACCATCGGGGACAACCTCGAGACAACCATCGGGACAACCATCGGGACAAGCATCGGCACAGCTGGGACAACCATCGGGACAACCATCGGGACAATTGGACAGCCATCGGGACAACCATCGGGACAATCATCGGGAAAATCAGCGGGACAACCATCGAGACAACCATCGGGACAGCCAACGGGACAACCGTCGGGACAGCCATCGGGGCAACCGTCGGGACAGCCTCGAGACAACCATCGGCGCAACCATCGGGACAACCATCGGGACAGCCAACCACGCCAAAATTCCAGGGTCAGAGCCACTCATGTTGGCCCGACTTGGCCTCTACCACGGCAGGAGCTCACGCGGCGTCGCCTCGCCTCGCACGCACGGCACTCGCTGCACGATCCGAAACCGCAATCGCCTTCCCGGCTGGGCGACTGCGTTTCACTCCGATCTCACCCCTCCACCTCCGATCCTGACTTCCCCGCCCCACCCCTCCCCAATGGCAAGATGACGAAGAGGATGAGACAAGCCTTTGCGCCACCTGTTCAGCTCTCCTCCCTCCTCCCTCCTCCCTCCCTGCTGTCTGTGCTGAATTGTCTCTGCAAGCTGCGTGCCATCGTTTGCTGACAGGCGATATGCGTCAACAACGTCGCAATCCAAAAATCCTCCCTTCCGCCCTGCCAGATTCCCACTCCAGTCTGGGCGGGGGAGCGGAGGAGAGAGGAAGGAGGCCGAGCGTCCCCAAGAGAGCTCCATCCAGTCATCGAAGAGCCCCCGCACCATGCGGGAGGCCAGGTGGGGAGGACACAACGAGCGCGGCGAGGTGGCCGCAGCTAGGTGGCCGCAACTAGGTGGCCGAAGCTGGGCCACAAGTAGGAGGCCGGGGGGGCAGGCGCCAGAGTTCCTGTCCAGTGTGCGAGGCCGATATCCGGGTTACCAGCAGGCGCGCAAGGAGGGAGAGGAGGAGCCAAGCTCGCGAATGCGCAGACCCTCGGGGGCTTCGCCTGGGGAAATCGCCTATGGGTCCCACGCGAGCGGGGGAAGAGGGGGCGGCAGAAAGAAAGAGCAGAGAGACGAGTGCAAGCAGGCAATGACTAAAGGCAAATGGGGATCCGCACGTGGGGGCGCAAGGGGACGGGAAGACTCGTGAGCAGACCGCCCCTGGCGCCCCAGAGGCGGAGGACGCCGCCCTCCAAAGACCAGGGGGCAGCGCGGGATACTAAAAAAACTCAGATGGGCATGCAATGCGAAGCTTATCCAGATGGAGAGAAGGAGGACAGCGAAAGAAAACAAAGGAGAGCAGAGGACAGGAGGGCAACAGACAGGCGCGCGGGCAACTCCTTCGCTATTCGGGGGGGAGCGAGAACGAGACAGGCAGAGGAGGCGGAAAGCTGTCCAACCCTAGCGGGGCCAGCCAGCGTTCCGCCTCCGGGAGGCGAGAGCGGGAGGAAAGAGGCGAGAGGGTGGTGAGTATGCGCGCACCGCTTATGCCCAGGCACACTCCA